TGACCCTCATGGTTAAAAAAAAAAAAAAGTTATGCAAATGGAATATTCTGTGTCTGTTGCCTCTTGTCCTCTGACTGTACCGTGAAGAAGAGTCTGGCTCTATCCTCTCTCTACCTTCCCATCAGCAAGTTGCAGACAGTGACAAGATCTCCCTTTAGCCTTCTCTTAAGGCTGAACTATCTGAGGTCCCTTAGCGTTTTCTCATGCATCGTGCGCTGCAACCTCTACACCGTCACAATGGCCTTCCATTGGACTCAGTCCAGTATTTCAATATTTGTCTTATACTGAGAAGCCTACTCAGCATGTTCAACTTGCTGTCCACGAGGTTGTCTTCCTTCTCGTCCACTCATTCAGACCACATCTGCTGAATTTGACTACAAGGATGCTATGGGAGACTGTGTCAGAAGCCTTGTTTTACTAATGTTATTCAATGTCCGCTGCTATCTCTGTGTCCACAGAGCCAGCCATCTCATCACAGAAGGAAAACATAAGTTATCTACTTGGAACTACCTTCTTATTTTTCCATGCCTGCAAACGGCTTCCAGGAAGGTTTTCCTGGAGACTGGAGTAAATCTGACCAGCCTGTAGTTCCCCATATCTTCCTTCTCACCATTCTGGATAGTGGATATCAGGATAAGTGAGTGGATAAGAATAATCCATATCCAAGCAGACACTCTGCACTAGTTTTGAAAAATCAGGTGCTTAAGAGTTTTACTCTAAAAACAGAGTAAAACTCACCGTTGTGGCCACAAACCAGTTTTTAGCACAGTTCCTTCTTTCTGAAGAAACTTGAGTTCTTGAAGAGAATTACTGGACAGAACTCTTCTGTGAAGTTTGCATGAAGCAGTCATTGCAGAAATAGTCCTTGCAACAGGAACCAGTACCTGAATTTTCTTCTTCCTCTCCAGTAAGAACATTCCTAGTAGGTATGAGCTGTTGTATATACACTTGTTTTCTCTCTTGCAGGGCTTTTGGATCTTGAGTTCTTTCCTGCAGCATAGCTTTATCAGGCAGAAGCGAGTATGTTGGCTTTGATATACTATCATCTGGTTGTTAAGGCACTCCAAAGAGCGGTAAGCGGTGTTGGTTTAAATCTCTTTGGGCTGAGGAGGCTTTAGGCCCACAGCTCCAGCATTCTGAGCTGATACACAGGCGGCTGCCAGATGGAAGGTAGAGCTCCACCTACAGATACTGTCATGTTTTGTGAAAAGCTGAATTCAGTCAAGATGTGTTAAGATCTCTGAGGAACCAGATGTTCACTCCTGTTAAGATGACATCAGTTTGGGCATGTTAAATACCAAGGACAACTTTGTAGGCAAAAATGTAAGTACCTACTTCTAATGTTTTAAGAGGTTAAGCATATTTTTATGGCTCTTATGCTAGGACCTAAATGCTTGAATCCTGCCTGAATTATGTTCTCTTGCAGATATGGGCCTGTGTCTTTGTGAAATGCTTTGCTGTAGTGATGGCATGTCTGAAGACAGAATGTCCATGTTGCTTTTAGTAACATGGTCAATTGGAAGGTCTCCCTAGTTTGACCTGTACTCTTTCACTGTTCAATTTCTGTCTAGGTGCCTCTAATAAATTCTGATTTTGTTGATAATTTTATAGCATCCCCTGAAAATTTTCAGTCAACCCAGGTAGTTATTCCCTAAAGACTTCTACCCTTGTAAGTGTTAATCGATGTCAAAATGAATCTTGTGTATATTGGTTAGAACTCTCTGATGTCTAGCACGCATGTTTACTTTGTACCTATGTGGTTACGCTTGTTGGAACTCATTTGGTTGTCAAAGGATTGCTCAACATGTTGAGTTGAAGTCCTTCAGTTCTCAAGTAAAAAGTGATTATTAGGCATTTTCTGTAATCAAAGGGGGACTGGTGGTTAGACTCTTAAAGCAATTGCCTAACTGTACTGTTGAACCATTCCCAACAATTTTTTTGAGGGGAACTAGAGCTGCTTCTTTATTACCTGTCCAAGAGAGCATGTCTCAAAAAGATATGATTGTGAACAACTTGGAGCTAACACAACTAATTAGTCTTTTTGTGTTCAGGAATCTCATAGTGCAGTCAGTACACATTCAATATAGTATAGAGCAAGAGGAGCTTGTTGCTCCCCATATGAACAGGAGGTTTGTCTTGGGGATGTAGTATTTGCAATATATACCAACTAACTCAAGTATCTCTTCGTAAGTCTGCATACTTTCTGGTGCAGACCCTTTTTCACAAACCAAGAGAAGACAGGCATTAGTGATGTCTCTTCTTTACAACGTTCCTTTTCTCCCCTCCCCTCTTCCTTTTGGAAAAGACCTTTTTATAACCCAGGTTCAGCTAAAGGCAGTTTGCAATGTCTAGCTTGCTGCTCATATGATGTACAGTCTGGGCTTCTTCATATTTTGATTATTCTGGTTTTTACCATTGGATTAAGACTTTTACTTACCGTAGGCTGTCCTTTAGCTCTCTTCAGTTGGTAGACCAAGTTCTGTCAGACTTTTACAAGAATTTTTCCAGGCTCCCTTTTCACTTTGAGATGTAATACTGTAATGGATAATATTACATTGTGTCACATTTCTGTCTGGATGTTCACTGCTTGTGCAGTGTGGTTGCTCAATACAATTGCAGGAATCTCCTTAGTGGAGCTGGAAACTTCCATTTTAGTGTCTTAGGAAAAAGTCTGCTTGTGGCAGACTGCTTTACATTGCATGCTATTCAGATTTCTTGTAATATTAATATTTAAGTATCTGGTCAAGCTCCACCTTCCTGTGATTTCTTCCTACCCCTCATGTCCCCATATTTATCTCCCTTTCAAGCTCTATTTGTAATGCTTTTTATGTCATTGCTGTTACCGCGGTGTTGATTCAAGTCAGTTTCAGCTGCCTTTTCTAAAATAGTGTAGAAACATGATGCTAAATTTATTCAATATCTAGTCGGAATTGAATTTGCTTTTAAATTGTTTTGAATTTCAATACCTCCCAGGGTCAGTTCCAACCTGAATTAGTCTAAGATTCTGTCATGTGTTTGTCTTTCCAAGTGAAATTTTTTGTCTTCCTGTTTCTCCGCATCCTACCTGGTGCTTTAAAAGTGAGGTCATTTTCTAGGCATTTGAAGGAGCTGTCTAGTATACGATAGTTTGTTGTAAGCTGACTAATTTTTCTCATACTCTCTGAAGGCACAAGCTACTTTCTCTACTTTTTGCTAGAAACATTTCCAATTATGAAATCTCTGAAATTGCACAGAACAACCCTCTAAACAGTGCTTTCTTTTAATGATCTCTTAACTTTTGATACCACGTTTGGAACCTGAACCTTTGGAACCAAGTCTCTGTAATCTTACATTCCAGATGGGAATGAAGTGGGCCTCTGCACTAGAAGCAGTGAACTTGAATGTGTTTTTTGGGGGTGCCATCTGTGGAAATTCTCATGACTATTATACTTCGCATGTTTGCAAGGATGTCTTTATCCAACCTTGGTGGATGGAACAAAGCAGTTCCCTTACTGTCTTACTTTTTGTTTTCAAAGAGAGTAGTCTAGGTAGAGAGACAGAAGAAGGTGCAGAGACATCACTGTGCAAGATTTGTGGTTTTGTATGAATTATCTTTGCCCTTCAGAGTAGAATTTATGACAAATTCTTCACCAATACCTTTTTTATTCTCCCTGCGCAAAAAGCTATTCCTTGTTAACAGAACTGCCTTAACACAATTTTTATTTCTTACAATATGTGAAATGTGCTAACTGCTGCCTTTGAGAATATGGGACTAGCAGGAACTACTTGGATCACTGTCAAATATTGATTTTTTTTTTTTTTAAATCAATGTGTCTGCATGTTATTGTGGTGTATTTAGGTTAGAAATGTAATGAGAAGCATACTGAGATGTATTAACTAGCCAGACGTTTGGTAAAAATGCTAATAAATCCTAAATATTTCTTCTAAATGTCTCATTATAGCACACATTTCCTTGAGATAAGTTAATTTGCATGGGGGCAAATCTGTAGCTGACATTATTAATCTGCTTATTCCCTCCCTTCATGCCTCTTTTAATTTAGCTTGTTTTAACTCTATTACAAGCTCAAATTGTTGCAAGTTCTCTCTTTTATCCAGTTTTATAATTTGATAAGTAAATACATCTCAGTGCTTCAATTTTAGCAGAAATATAAAACTAATCAACAATCTGTGATAGGGTGATTGTTACTGTTATGGTGTGGATTGGGACAGTTATTTTTTACAAATTAGTTGCATTTAAAAGTAGTTTAAAAGTTTAACACTTCTCAGTGTCAGTTGAAGATGCTTACTACTTGTGTGACAGGTACCAGTACAGTATGTAGAGTAGAATCCTGTAGTGATAAATGCAATCAATACAGGTGTGATTCACTATAAAACCAAGAAATGTATGTATTTTAAGTTTCATGCTGTATTTTTGTTTTAGATGTGGATGTTGATCTGAAATAGATACTGAGTCAGCTGTGTTCTTTTTTTCCCTTTTTTATTACTATTGGCTATTTGCAATCAAGGACTAGATAAAGTCAGTTTCTGGCAGGTGGGAATTGACTGATCACTTTGCATGTGAGGAAGAAAGGAAAAAGTAAAGACAGCATTCGGCTCCCTTGTGGTTTGCCTGAACTGATAATAGCATGCTGATAACATATAGATTTGATTGAAGTAGATTTATGTAACATGCTGGCTGGTTTTTAAATAGCAGCAGTGATTTAAGTATTTTCCCCTCATGATTTGAGTTTTTTTATTTCAAAGTATTTTGTTTTAAACACCAAGAAGCACATATAGGTCAAGAAAAGAAATGTTTGCCAGTACGAACTCCGTGCTAAGCATTCTGGGAGAGTGCTTTCTTGCAGCAGCTGAGGATTCTTTGTGGCTGGCAGCAGAAACTGCAGCAGTATCTTTGCAGTTTCCTTTCATCTTTGATTATATTCTGAGGACCTCTGAAATATAGAAGCTCTTTCCCCGACCCTCTGGAATACCTTTTCATCTCTGTTGCGGAGTATAGCACATGCTGAAAGCCTCCTGTCTTTTACAGCTGAAGTGTCCTTTGCTTTTCATCACCCTCTGATTTTTGTCTTCTGTGGCTGGATTTTTGGCAGTGTTTGGCTTAAGCAAATAGGATTACATTTCAGTAGCTGATGGTTTCTAGTCGAGGAATGTGCTAAATGTCGGACGTGATGAAGATTGCACAAAAAAATATTTCTGTGAAGCACAGGAAAATTATTCGAGTCGAGCAAAGGAAGAAGACATTCTGCAAATGCAAGCAGGGCTGCTAGAAATGCAAAATTCAACAGATTTGGAATGGGTTGCACTACAAGTGTGGTTCTGTTTAAAGGCATTCGTACAGTTTTTGAGAGAAACTGTGGCTATATTTGCAAACAGCAAGGGGAAAACAATGCCCTTGAATACACAGCATTCAGCTTGCCAAATGAAGATTCAGGAATACTGATTCATTCATCCCTGGTAAATACAAACTTGTTTCATTAATAATTTTATCTGCTAATTGAAAGCTAAACTAAAACCAGGATATTGTGTTTGTTTAACATCTGCTGTCTACAGGCATGAATATACCTTGTCCTGCTAGTGTAGGATGTTAGTGCATGTATGTGACATGTAATACACATGTGCATGCAGCTGTGATGTTAAAGCTTAGGATTCGTATTCAGTATTTCATTTAGATTTGTATTGATAGCTCTGAAGAATTTGCAGTCCAGAAACAGGATTGTTATAGAAGATCGTCTGCTGTTAGATCTTTCTAAACGTACTCTTGGAATGTATTTGGCACTTCAATTGAAGAACAACAGATGATTACGTTATTTGGAAAAACTAAGGAATGCATTGTTGGGAAAACAGTAACCCAGGATTTAAGGTTTATTTTTTTCAGATGGATGTGAATACATTTTTTTCTTTTTTTTTTTTCTCTGAATCTGTTCTATTTCTGTTGAACTTACTGAGAGGGATAGAGGAGCATTCTAGAAGAAAAAAAAAAGCTTGAAGGGAGAAAAAACTGTTTTCTCAACCTGCTGTGCTCTCAAAGGCTTTTTTAGGTGTTGCCTGATGCAAAGAAAACAGGCTTTAAAGTGAGACTGTCTTCTTTGTACCCCCCAGGTTAATGACGCATTTGTGCGTCAGATGTATTGCATTTAGGCTTGAGGGGGTGGAATTGCAATAGCTAATGTGCACCGCTTGCTTCAGAATTGGGCTAGTTAAGGATTTAAATATTTATTTTAAATATTTTGGGGTTACTTGTTAATTGCTTTGTCACTGACTAGGTAGTTGGAATAAGAGGGGTGTGGTACACTGAAATAACTGGACAGATTTTGACAAGCTTGTTGTGCCTGCTGGCGTACCCACGCTGTGCAATTGCAGTTATGGAAAGCCTTTAGAAATTTCACAAAGCTTTGTTGTCATTATGCTTTTCAGATCCTTTCTTGCTGAACTCAAATATAAGAAAAAAAAAAGGGGTGTGTGTATGTATGTATCTGTGTGTATACATATTTATGCATGTGTGTGCATAGAAGTATACACGTGTATATTTGTATGCACACACATGCATATATGTATGCTTGTATACATGGATACACAAACATAAGCTTCCTGGAAAGAATACAGAATAATCTGAACTGCCTTCAGATGTTTAAAATAAACTTACAGTATGTGTGTTACCCTTCATGATAGTATTGCATTTTATAATTTCTTAGTATGGTTTGATATTAGAAATAAAATGGCTTCCTCTAGGTATTAGAAGCCTTTTTAACACTGTTAGCCATTTTTAAATTTGCCTCATATGGATGGTTATTAGATGTTTGTTAAACTCTGGACAATGAATACTTTCAATAACTTTTGCACTCCATTGAATATAAGACCTAACACATTTACTAGCCTTCAGTTTTATGTGTAGTTAGATGAGTGAATGAAGAAACACTTTTTTAAAATGAATTATTGTAACTTGGAGGGTGCAGTGAACATTTTTTGTATTGTATAACACTTTTTTTTCCTGCTGTGTTTCATGTGGTATTGTTCCAGCAATGATTTCTTTTTAATTTAGCCCCGCAGAACTGGTTTGCAAACTGGCAAGATTAAGCACACGATATGCTAAGTCTGCCATTTCCAACCAAAGTTCCACATTTGTCACTTAAGGGTTTTTTTTGTTCAACTCCAAAGATGCTTTTAAATAATGATACTGGTGGTTTTTTTTTTTACTTTCCTGTATGGCTTTGTCAGCTTGGTTTAACTGGAAATAGTGGATCAAGATAAGTTTCTTCCTGGGATAAATACTTGAAGGTTAGTATGGAAAAGTGTGCAGAAATGAGGGGTCAGAATGACTTCCTGCTCATTGTACTGGACTAGTGTTGTCCAGAAGAGCAGAAGTCAGAATTTTCAAGAAAAAAAAACCAACAGGGACTTCACTGAAAGATCATGCTCTTGATAGAGCTGGCGCTGGCTGTTGCTTTCTGAGATGCTGTCTGGAGCTGGGGAGGAGTTGCTACTGCCTTTACCCCTGAAGGGTGGAAAGCAGAATTCCCTGGAGACTGGGAAGAGGGAGAAAGATGCTGCAGTCCTGGCGACAGTGACAAGTGACTTTATGAAACTCATCAAAGTATATACATGGAACTCTTAAATTACATTATTATTGTACTTTTTGCTATAAAAGCTTATTTGGCCAGTTCCTCCTCCCCTGAAAGGTAGCTTTGCAGGGAGATGAAGACTACAGGAATACTGTTCCTCTGAAGACAGGCTGTATGGCCAAGACCAGAAAAGAAGGGGCAGTGTGCCACTTCCCTGTGTTTTATTTTGGTGGTTGTTGCAACAGATGCAGGCATGGGCGTATGGCTTCACCTATTTGTTTGTCTGTGCTGTAACATGTATTCGAGCTGCAATTTCTTACCTCTGCCTTTTTGGCTGTACCTCCTGTCTGGTCTGTTTAGCTATTTTGGATCAGATATCTCCTGATACAGAGCTGTTGTCGGAACACCAGTTAATTTCAGGGATTCCTTTAATTTCAGAATGCATTGATTCTCTTGCGAAGCCAGTGTTTAGTATCTGTGAACATTTCCTGTGAGCAGAAAGCTCTTGGGAAGCAGTTCTCCTTGGAAGGAAAATCTCCTGATCTGTGAAGAAATAAGGAAGCAGAAGTAGTTGATTTAGCATACATTTTTCTTATTTAACATGTGATCCAGAGGTCAATCCAAAGTCTTATTAAATCTAATTAAATTTTTATCTTAAACAGGTCTGCAGTTCATTTTTAACCATCTGATGTCGCTCAAACTTGCAATGAAAGTGCTGTTTCTTGTCTTCGGGATAGACATGTTTCTAGCCCATCACATAGACTTTATTTTGCTAGAACACAGGGTCTCTTAGGGTCTTTATGTCCACATGGGTAAAAATCAGTATTTTTGTAAATGATTATAAATTTAATTTGAGATGCTATTAAAAGTTGCATCAAAATTAATGAAAATATATTTTCCCCAAATGACCACCTGGGGCATATTTATATTCTGCAGATACTGAGAAAACATTCTAATTTGCTAAGTTTTCTATGGAGTTGAAGGATACAGTTTCAAAATACTACTTTGTATGCTTGAACTACATTACTTTGTTTTGATTTTACGATGATTTTTTAAAAAATCCATTCTCGGCATGATGTTACATGTTATTTCTGCTGTGTTGCAGTATCTTAGAGTTAGGAGAGTTTTTTTTCGTAGCCTTTACTTTTGTAGTCAAACTCCATTTTATTGGTAATCACTGTATAACCAATGACTGTCTAGGAGTGAAGTGTTACTGTACAGTTTAGGGCCTAAACAGCTGTTTCAGATGATGGGCAAAGATGGAAAACAAGCAAAGGAGAATGACGTGGTAACAGTAAAACTAACAAGATTTTACAAGTTTGGGTTTTGCTGATAAGCCCATTGAAAAATTTGGTGAAGGAAAAGGCTAGCTGAGTGTACTAGCAAGACCGATGGAGGAGCTAGAAACTTCTGAAGTGACACAGACTGGGCTGAAGAACATCAACTTTTATTTTCTTTCTATTTGTCTGAAAATTGCAGAAAGCAACATGCTTTTTTTCCCATGCTTAAAATATTTTTTCTCAGTTTGCTTCTTGTGGCCTATTCAACACTGCTGTTTCTCTTATTAAACTTTAAAACCTTGTCGTTTGGTAAAGCTACTTCAGGTAGTTTAGTAGCTGCAGCATGTGCAAGATGTGGCCTAATAATTTTAAGTAGTCTTTCATTAAGTCTGATGTGGAAAATATAATGAATTTGAATAACTGTTGCTTAATTTATGCTTACACAGTTTCTCAGAAGAAATGCAGGGCATTTTGAAATAGTGTATGTCTAGCTTTTAATAGGACAGATTTAGGTATTTGCTAGAAACAGAACCACCAACCTTATTAATAACTTCAGTTTCTTAGTCCATGTAACCTGTTGACACTAACACTGTCATTAGGTGTTACTGAGTTTTTGTGTGACTGCTCTTTCTGTGCTGCTCAGGAGTCATTTGGTTTATTAATAAACTGTGACATCTTAAAGATATACCAGAGTCTGCGCACATGGGAAGACTGATTAATGACAGCAGTGAGCTATGTCAGTCTCGAAATAACTCCACAGAAGGCATCTAAGTTCCAGTGTTTTGATTTCAGAATAATTTGAAATTGTATGTGTAGGATTTTCAAAAAAGACTACTTTCTTGATTTAACATGTGGTGTGTTTAAAGTAAGCCTTAAAACATTCATTTATTAAAAGTCCTTATATTAAGGCCTATCCTTGCTGTCTGAATTAACAAATTAATATCAACTTGCTTATTTAAAGTAGAAAAGTTTGATAGAACTATCCCCTTTATATATTTCTACTTTATTTCTGAGGAAGTCATTCTGCTGAGTAAGTGGAAGTTGGTTTTTTTAAATGGGCTTAAACAGCTTACGCAGCAATTATCTGATGGTGTGCAGATAATTTGTATGGCTTAGTTTGTTATTTCACTCTCCCATAACTTGCTTCAACTTGTAACTGTATTACAAGTGGCTTTTGTTGATCAGCAAGTGGAGCATTAGACCTCATTAGGCTTCTAATAAGGAAGACACAGACATGTTTGAGTACAGCATCTAACTGTTGCATAGTTTTTCATGGGTCACTTGCATGAAAGCACTCCTTTTATCTCCTTTCATCTTACTGCTTTGGGTGAATAAAACCTGGTGTCTTATGTGCTGGCTTGCAGTTTTGGCTAAATCTCCTGATGGTTTCAGTAAAATTTTTGTTTGTTTTGACCTTTCATTAGACTCCTTTGGGAAGAACGGTTGCATGTCTGTCTCTGATATCCCTCTTCCCTCTTGGGAGGGGAAATGGCAGCACAAATTCGCCAAACGTGCAGGTCCTGCAGCAAATAAACTTCTTTCAAAGATGCATGGGAGAGGGTCAGTAGACATTAGTTTGTCACTCAGTGTGCTGGCATGCAAAAGATAAGATTAA